ATTCAAAACAAATACTGAGCATCGCACGAAATGACGAAGAGATTTTGTTAACTTGATTAGCTAGCTAGCAGGTATTGGTATTAGCTGCAAATCCATAGCTGAGCTACACTAATTATATATTTCATCAATATCCGTAATATAAATTTAATATATTATTATGCCATATCATGCAGAAGCACTCAATTGTCAGTGCTTCGTTTTGAAATCAGCTTTCATTTTAATTAATACGCATCCCTAATAAATAAGTAAATGTTATTATATAAGGTATAACAAGAAGGAAACGGTATTCTATATGTTGAATAAGTAATTCAAGTAAATAAAAATGTTATTTTTAAAATTTTATATATCTAGAAATTTAATAAGATTTTCGAAGCCAATCTAAATCAGAGTACCGTCAGCACTTAAACGTTTCATTTTTCTAATTGCTCAATGCATTTTACAATGTAAATTGATAAATGGCAATTAAAATCTATTTAGTGAAGCTAAACAGTTTGTTTATAAATTACACTAAATTAAGCAAATTTGTTGGGTTCGATGCGAGCCATCGAAATGAGCCTGAAATTGAGCTCATGCTGATGGCCCGCTGATCCACCGTGGTGTCATAATTAGAACGTGCTATGCACGCTGACAAGGATGGGAGGCAGTGCGCCACAAAGCACCACTGTGCACACACATAAACGCTCATCAAATCCACTTAAGCTGGTAATGGACGTGCATTGCCGTAGAGATCAGCCCAGCAACCCAGCAGCCCAGCAGCCCGACAATTGGTTTTATTTGCTGTCAACTAACAGCAAAACACGCATACGACGCGTTGCACCGTTGCATAGCTGATTGTGGCGCCCACTGGGAGGTATGCGCGCGTGTGTGTGTGTGTGTGTGTTTGACTGGACCTGGCTTGGTGTGGCATTTAAGTGCCGCTTGGCCTAGCCAAAGGTGCAACGGAGAGACGCCAGCAGCGACAGCACGACGATAGCCAGGAGGACTCCTGCTGTTTGCCAGCTGCGGGCTGCATTAGGCAGCAAAAGCAGAAGCAGGAGCAGGAGCAGACGTGAAGCCGCCTCTCATTGGTTGCAAGCCGACGCGACGGTTCATATGATTTTTGCACTGATTTGCGTTTAATTGAATTTTGCGTGTGACACACAGCTGCTGTTTGACCTTCCCCCCTGCTCGATTCGCACAGCACATTAAATTGCGCCAAAACGAGGAAGTCCGCCTCGAGCATATTGAGCCCACTTAAAATGATTACGAGCCCTAAACGAACGCAGAACGGAGAGCTCGCTCTCTCGAGAGATACATAAATCAAGACGGCTGTTCAGTGGCTGGTCAATGAACCGCAATGGGTGTAGGCAACAGCTAGAAAGAATATGGGAATATGGGAATAGTGAAAATAAAAAAGATATTAATAGACAGAGGCAGAAGTCTGGTCTATGTACCGGCGACTCCTGCTCCGGTCTATAGCCATTAATGATGTGGCCTACAAGCCTCGATACGGGCGCGAATACGTGCCTCAATGCCACAGTTGCCCGCCTCTCAGCTGTTGCAGTCGTCGCCAGCAGAACTCTGCCTATGCCTATGCCCATCGAGTACTCAGTGGAGAGCAGTGGAACAGTGGAAGGAATGCGCCAAGCGGAAACAACTTAATGACGCGCGGCGCTAATGGTTCACTTAAGCACCCACATAAGTTACCCGCTCGCTTCCCAAAAACAGAGCGATAGAAGATATGTATATACACGTAGTGGGGAGAGAGTGTAGAGAGTGAATTTTGCTGATACGACGTAATGAATACGCTGGCAAATTTACAAGCTAATCTGTATAATTAATATTCAAGACTTAATAAATATACACGGAATTTCAAAGAGAATAGTATTTAAGATTTTTTGAATTTTATTTATATATTGTATTTATTTATTTTGTATTTTAGTTTATGAAGCTTCCATTTCTTCTATTAGTAGACCGAGTGATTATTCCAGTATGCAAGTAAAAATAAATTAATATAATAATTAGATGATAGATGAGCACAATAAAGTTTATTTAAATGCAGTAATTATTATACAATAATTTCATAATTTTGGTTAGCTATCAATTTTTAATTTAATTAATTTTAATGTATATTCATTTTATGTATACATAAAAAAAAAAATGAATTATTTATTATATATTTGTATATACTAATAGAATTATTATAATAATATTTTTATTTTTTTATTTATTTATAAAATTTTTTGTTCATATATTTTTCAGAGCATTTAATCTTCGCTATTTATAAAATAGAAATTCTATTTGTATTTAAAGCTCTGTATTAACTAAAATATTAATAAATAAGCGTGCGATTAGCTCGCATAACTGAACAAGGACAAGCGAAACAGGATTACTCGTTGTAACATATATATTCACATATAATATATGCACACTTTAATTTAAATTCCAATAGTCTAGCATGACGAACATGGCTTAGAAATTATTTATGTATATATATGTAATTATGTAAAGCAGAGCAATCTTATATTCTGTTATTTTATACTGTATTCAAATAAATACATTCAAATCAAATACTTATATAGATAATATATAATGATTGCATGCCTGTATATTGCACACCCAAAACGACTCTTTTATATAGGGTATTTCCTAGTCACACATATTCAACTAAAGCTCTCTCTTTTTTTTGTTTGTTTATATTTCCTTTTTTTTTTTTTTTTTTTTTTTTTTGCCCCATTACATTTTAGAGGCGTCGCAGGCTTGTGGGTGTCACTGTGTTGTCGTTTTGCCCGCCAAAATCGGCAAGCGGCCTCCTCGTTCCGCTCCGTTTCGTTCCTCTCTGCTCTAGGCTCCGATTTTGTCGTACAGTTTGCTTCGACGGCTTCTATGCGTACTCCAGTGCCTGGCCTGGACCGGCGTCCCTTCCCCGCCGTCGAGTCGCACAGTAATAATTTCTCGCTAATGGTGTCCTAAATTGTCAAGAAATATGGAACCATTTGAATGTGTTGCCCCCACCCACGGACTCCACTTCAGCGTGAGCGCGTGGGAGTGCCAAGCGGAATGAGTTTGTATATACATATAGTATACAGTTATGCGCATATATATATTTATCATAAGTATATGCGCGCTGTTGCTGAGAGTGCGGCTTTTAGTTCGTTTGTGTTCTTGACTTCCGGTTAGCCTGTCGGCTAGGAAAGTCTTTGTTTTCGCTTTTGATTTCTTTTATATGGACTAAAAAGCAGCAGCAGCACTGGGCGTGTCTTTGGGGGGCGGCTACAGCGTACGTGTTTTTGACAACTCAAAGCACACTATGAAGGCTACACAGCTGCTTATATGGGCCACCAGCAAAAGTCAAAGGCAAAAGCTTTTTTCTGTGCAATCGGTGTAAGCTAAAGTATTTATAGTATTTATACAAATCAATAAATAGCCGATCCACTTTCGACTCGTTTTACATAGCTCGAGCAAAGTAGATGAAGAGAAGGAATTTATTAATATTTATTAATAATTCTATTATTGTGACTAAGCTGAAGAATTTATAGGAATTGCTTGAATTGTGAATTTCATTGTATTAAAGTAAGTAGATATTTACCTTATTTAAAGCACTTGGCGCTTATCAATTTTCTCTCCATGGCCACTTGTTGCAGCGTCAGCTTATGGCCGCCAATCAATTGTATAGCTGCTCATTAAATATGGTTGCCTTAACGTAACGCAAGCGTGCTACGTCACGCATACGTCATATCATTGAGCTATACAGTAGAGTTCTTTGTTATCGTCGCTTTGTCTCAGCACTTTGCTGTGGTAAATACCCTCAAAGATGGCATCTCGCATTCATCTTCAGCTATTCAGACAGACAAAAAATGAAACTCACAAAGTGTGTGCGTGTGTGTGTGTGTGAGTGTGTTGAAGCATTTATGCCAACAGAGACGTAAAAAATCTGCTACTTATAAATTATGTTTATTTATTTATTATATTTTTGAAGCAGCTGCGCTCGACTACGCAACATTTTCTTCCTGCTGTCAACGAATGTCCTGGCTGGCTGGCTGGTGGCATAACAATGCTTTCGCTTTGTCTTCGTCCTTCACGTTTTCTTCGTTTTCATAAATCTGCAAAAAGAAAGATGAAAAAATACGTTGTACAAATGTTGTTGACAGCGGACAAACGGACCGACGGACAAGCAGACAGCGGGCAACAAATGGACCCTACAGGACACTTTCAAAGCTGGCCATTTAGGAAAAAGAAAAAAAAAAAGAAGTGTATATATGTATATAAAAATGGAGAAAAAATACAAGACGAGGGTAGCCTCAAATTGGCCAAGCTGACGAAATTGCGGTAGCCTGAAGTACCCCCAAGCGTTTATCGGGCATTTGTTGCTAATAATGTTGTCGATGTGACAAATACTAATACAAAGCCCATGCCATCTACATAATGACTGCGCCAACAATATTGACCGTTTCTCAATATCTGACGATTAGCTGATCCCGTTTCGTATATATGCACATATATTTATACTTGACTAAATCTCACTGCCAACATGAGTGATGGAACTAGTATATTTAAATGTGCTCTGCTTTCGGGCAATATTTCTTAATGCTCTTATTTGTTGAGCAGGATTTGGACTTAGCTAAAGCCTTAAAGATATAAACAGCTAAACCTATTGAACACTATTGGGAAAACTTCGAGATTAAAGATGTTTAGCTAAGCTTCAATGTAGCGTCAGTTGTCTCTGGTAAATAATGTAGGGAGTAATGCAGCTGTGATTCACTCAAGTCCGATATTATAGGATTTATTTAAGTTCGTGGCAGTTGAAAGTAGTTGAATTTAATTAATTTGATTGGTAGTTTATATCTACAAATGATGACTTTATAAACAATTTGTTCTATACCGAAAAATCTCAAATATAATGATTTGCTTTTACTCTTTTTTTTTTATATAGGTAAATTGTAATCTATTTAATATTAAAGGAAGTTTAGAAAAATAAGTATTTTATTTGGCAGACCGGGTAGCTAAGCCTTTACAATATTTTCTACAGTTTGTATAAATTGCTCAAGCTTCAAGCAGGCTTTCGTTCATTTCCAAATTCAATTTAATATATAATAACTCAACATTTATATTCGAATAAACTTTGTAATACAACATTGTAGAAAATGGCAGGCCACGACGTCCTGATTGTGTCGCCGTTGAACGTAAAGTTCCAATCTCCGTTTCCGCACATACAGAAGCGACAGCTGAGTCTGCTCAATCTGGGCTCCCAGCCCGTCGACTACTCCATAGACATTGACAATGCGACGCTCTTTCAAGTACAGCCCACCTGTGGCCGCGTGTCGGGCTTTGACACCATCGAGCTGAGCATCATCATGCAGCCGGTAGAGGGCGATCAGCCGGGCTGCTCTTTGAAAGTCATACACAGGGTCAAGGACGCGTCAGGCAGTCTACAGGCGCTGGATGATTGGAAGGATGCGCGAGTAACTGTGGTTGCCATTACGCTCGAGGACTCTGTGGTGAACGAAAAGGAGTTGCTCAATATGTTCGGCGATATCGATGGAAAGACCAAGGACCTTATCGAGATCATGGAGAAGCAGTACCAGCCCTTGTGCCACAAATGCAGTATGAAGCGCTTTCAGAACTCTTCGAAGAAGCGCAACAAACTAAGGCATCTCTGGTGGCCGTTTTTGGTAGCCTTGCTGTCGCTGTTGAGTGAGTGCAGCCATCATCTATATCGTGTCACATTTAAAGAGCTTCCTTTAATCAGGTTACTGTCTGTGGGCGCTGAGCAGAGTGTATGAGTACAACCCTGACGCGGTTTACTAAAGGGGCGAGCTAGAGGCGTGTAGCTGTAACAACAATGCAAATCAATTATTAAATTATGCAAATAGAAAACTACGCCTCAAGCAAACACACGTTACTGCCTGCCACACCCACATGCACACTCACGGCAACCCAATTCGAGTCGAGTCGAGCTGAGATTGATAAATCAATCATACGCGCCGTTGGCTGCGGCTTTAAATCAAATTGCCGGCTGTCTGCTTGATTAGCTTAACTGCCGTTTCATTAGTTTGATTTTGCAGTGCAGCGGTTGAGACACCCAAACACCATAAGCAACTACACTCACACACACACACAAACACACACAAACACACACGTAAGCACGAAGCTGGTTGCTTGGATTTATTTATAAAGCAATTATTGCCACAATTAATTTCTGATTGCATTCGAGCCGCGTATCAACTATTTTATACAGCTCTATATATTGCCGTTGACTTGGATTGCTGATGCTGTTGCAATTTTAATTAATTTACGCCTGTCTGGAGCAGTTGCTTTATGACGCCAATTAACATTCTGTGTGGCAATTCAATTTACTTTGACTTTCCCAATTGAAATTCTAATGCAAATCCCTTGCAGCGACAGCCAAACTACAAATTGATCCTCCGGGCATTCCGCTAAAGACCACGCTGCTGCCCTCATGACAGCCAATTCATATTTATTTTATACAATTTGCACAAAAATGAGCGACACGACACCAGCCGACGTCACACCCGGACAGACCCGACCCGGCCCAGGCACTTAAAATGCCGCCAGCCACTGCAAATATCCCCAATGACTCTTTTTCTGCATCGTTCAGTATTCGTTGGCCCGCACTTCTTATGCCGTTGGCTGGCATTTTTATCACCCAGCTGTAAATGCAACAAGATGAACGCAACCAAATACTTGAAAAAGAAAAGTTCGCTAAGTATTTCGCATGCAGACAATGAACGCTTGAGAGCTGGACAGTCGTTAAAAGCGTGTTATGGCATGATTATAAACTTGAGAGAATGCGAGTTTGCTTTATGGCGAATTGAAGTGAAACAAAATACTAAAATTCAAAGCGGAAGAAGAGACAACCATTCTTGAAAAATGTGCGTAGCATAGGCTGCGACTTCAAACGAAAGATATTCTCAAGTTATTCAGACTTAATCAGCTTTAACTGTGGCAGTATGTGGCATTCTTTAGCCAACAAATTCCGAATTCAAAAACTCTTATACACAACAATATTATTAACAATAAAGCTATTGCATAACTTTAATTAAATGTAATTTACACATTTAGCTAAGACAAAAACACACGGAAGCCTACATTATCTTTACACTTTTGTGCGCTCTTTGTTCAACCATTTGTCTAATGAATAAATAGAATTTCAATTTAATTAAACAAAAATTTGTTCTGTTCAATTCATATAGATTTAATATAAATGCAAAAGTTTTTTCTCAGAGTCGATTTCATATATCTAATAATTTATTTTACAGTTTTCTTTTGTATTCTTTTCAGCATTAAGTCGATTGATTCAAGAACTCAGACCCATATTTCATTTCGTATTCAAAGAGCTGGCAATGTTCACCCAAAATCAGGAAATGATAGTTTCACTCCAACAACAAAGCAAGGACATGCCACAGCAGGTTCTTCTTATAGTTCTTTCAGCTTACATTCCATAGATAACGGCACGTCAGTTAACGGTAAGCGATTGCAGAAAAGGTCACAGGCGAGGGTCATGTGCCCATGCTGGCAATAAAGCAAAATTCAATTTGTTGCCGCAATTTATGCCGATGTGAACTAAAAAACTGTTTGCTGCATATCCGATTTAGTTGTTGTTGCTATTGCCGTTGCTGTTTCGCTTTATCACAATCAGAATTTATGTGACATAAGGAAGTAAATTTGGGGACTTTGTTCTATCCAGGCAACCAACAGGCCAGCCTCTCGCTCAGTTGATTGTATTGAGAAATGAATGAAATTAGAATGTCTGATGGCATTTTGAATTGGATTTCGACGTTTGTTTTTTTTTTTTTTTTTTTTTTTTGCGTGTCTCCCTCTCTTTCTCTCTCTCCGGCTCGCTCGTCCTCTCGCTCAGTCGGATGTTCCCTTTTCGGTCTGCTCGTGCTTGTTGCCGTGTTTGTTGGCCAATTTCAGGCGACACCACAAGACAGCCCACAAAATGGCGTCCTAGCTTCGGCTCCCGGTCAACCACAGGACCATTTCCGTGTGCCCTTGCCCGCCTTCCATCTGATTTGCCCCTTGCCACCCTTCGCTTTTGATTGCTGTTGCATGTCAAAGATTTTGAGAGTCAAATGAAAATATTTTGTTGTTGCAACACTGGAAAAAAGGGGAGCAAAATGAAAAAAAAAAAAAATACCCTGAATAATTACTGAAATTACAAACTAGGATTTTAATATTGAGCTGCAACATAAAAGCATACAAAAAATACCTTAAAGCCGATTTTTGTTCGATTTTCGCTGAGTGCATTCGATGCAAAATACCAAATTTTTTTACAAAACAATATTGACATTTCAATGGCAAAGCTTTCCATGTGACAGATATCGAATGGCAGCAATGCCAAATGGAACAGAATAACGAAGATAAGAAGAAAACATGTGATTAAATTTGATTGATAACCAAGTCCAGGAGAAAGCAACAAGACAAATTTGTTATTTACAGTATTATAGAATCGAGCGAATTGGTCCCATATATTCCCCATGAACTACTCGCAATTTACAAGGTATTTCTAGCTGAGCATACCCCGCCAGTGATGCCGCTTTTGCATGCTAAATATTTTCATGTCTGTTTTGTCACGCTGTTCGTTTACACAGGTCGTGGACTCGGTAGCGGGCAACCCCTGATGCCGCAGCAGGGGCAGCCCCCCTTATGGCTCATTAAATTGTTAAAAGAAATTCTTGAGGTGTTTGGGCCAAGTGCTTTGGCCACCTTTGATGGCTGCGGCACGAAGCACGCATAAAACCTACAAATGCCACAAACACGAGTCAAGTTTTTCTTTTTGTTGTTGTTGTGTTGTTGTTTTCGAGCAAAAGTTTTACGAGCTTATCCCAAGAAAGAACTGCGAGTTTGGAGCAAGATGAAAAACACACGAAAACAAAAGCCAACAAGAAGAAGAAAAGCAAACGAAAAAGAGAAACACGTGCCAATAACGCTGACTGCAACAAGCAACGACCGTCAACCGGAAACCATAACAACTACGTCAAACAACTCTGATGGGCTGAATTAAAACATGCCCCGGCCGAACAGCCGAAAGATACCGTATTGGGCTGCTGCAGCCCAGGTTGCGGTGGGCGTGGCCGGAGTAAAAAAGAAAAAACAACAAATGTTATAAGGTGCCAAAGGCCATAAAAGATGCAATCAAAATCAAACTGATTTGTCTCCGGGGAGCGTTGCCAACTTTTATGTTTACGAGCAGGTTATGGAGACTTTAAAGTAGTGCATAGACTAGAGATACCCTGTACAAGCTAAAATATTATTCACAAATTATTAATTTGCAAGCCCATTCAATTTAGAAATTACGGTTTTTCTTTGGGCTTTTTGTGCTTAGCTTCGCTTAGATTGAATCTATAGAGCCAAATATCTGTGTATGAATAATTTATTGAATTTTATTGTTGCGGCTTTGGGCCAAAATTTGTGTAATGTTTACATGAATAAATAAATAATCAATGCATTTATTATGCTTGTAATTGAATTTTTGAATATGATTTTTAGCTATTTACTTTTTAATTATGCTATCTATATTTAGATATTTAAGCCTAATTTGCATCACTGCATAATTAAGTGCTGGACAAATTAGTGATCAATGCAGTGCAGAGGGGGATAGAGAGTGAGAGAGTGAGTGAGTGAGAGAGAGAGAGAGAGAGATTAAGAGCATTGAAAATTGGGAAGTTTTTAGAGGTTTACTTAATAACTTTTCATTAAGATACGGCTTGGAGCTGCCAAGAGATAGCGTAGATCAAAGTAAAGTATATACATATATAACATGTATTTAAATATATTCACTATATAATTTAAAGCTATTTAATATTGTTAAAGCTTAAGTATAAAATATATCAGATATTTATATATATATATATATACATAATATATTTAACAAAAAACAATTTGTTGTTTTCCAAAATTTCTCTGAAATTTCTAAGCTTTACCAATATAAGAGCTACTATTTATAATAAACACAAACTCTTCAACTAATAGACATTTATTTCAACTGCTTTGTATAGCTGTATATCTAATCTTTAGCATGGGTAGTTGGGAGTAGTTGCTTCATGGCGCACCTTAATCAAATAGCTTATAGTAGAAGTGGCCTTTGCCCACGCCGAAAATGGTATACGGAAGGCATTTGTATTGTCTGGTTGGCGCACAGGAAAGGGAAAGGGTCTACGTCCGTTAAACTGGCTTTAATTAGACAATCGTGAAGTCGGCTAAGTTATGGGCTGACTCTCTGCTGCTGCTACTCGCCTCGGGCTGAGTCGTGAAATTTATGCGTTAAAATTGCATAATTTTCAGACACACACACACACACACGCACACAACACTCGCACACAGGCACTGAGGTACACGCACAGCAAAAGTTTGCACATAAATTTAAGAGTCAAGGTAAGAGCGCACAGTTTTGACTGCGTTGCCCCCCTCTCCCACCCCGTCGGCTGCCTGCCACTGGCCATTGGCGTGTGTCCCTGGCTTCATATTGAATTAAACACTTTGCGTTTGGGTCGCCTCAGCAGTGTCTTTTGATGCTGGCCATTTGCACACACACTCACACACACATACACTCTCGCCACACACTCATACGATTCGTTTTTAATTTCCTGTTTCTGTTCTATAGCTTCTACACTGCGATTGCTGTCGGCTTTAGTCTGCTCTGTTATCGCTCCCTGCCTCTCGGCTGTCGCCACACTTTTCCCCCAATTGCAAATATGGCCCCAAATTTTTGTGTTTCTCTTTCGCTTGTGTTTTTTATTTTGTTTTGCTTGTTGTTGTTGTTGCTGTTGTTGTTTTTTTCCACGCGGTCGGCTGTCTAATAGTTTTTACTGCAACTTTATTTAGTGCGCCTGCAGCCAACGCAGCCGGCCCTCTGCCCGTTGTCTATGACATGGCCCATTGCACGCCACTCAGCCACGCCCACCGCCTTTCATTTCCATTCAATTTTGCCGACAACGTTTATATACTGTATATTTCATTTTTGTATTTTTTGCTCTCCCCGCGCCATTTTTGAACATTTCGCAATGAATTTCGTTTGGGTAGAGCATCCTACGTCTGTCTGTCGCTTCTGTCTGGCCGCGTTTTTATGAAGATAAAAAGCTCAGCGATTCGGCAACAGCAGCATTGGCATTGGTCTAGGCCATGGCTCAGGGCCGCTTATGCCCGACTGACGCCGGTGGCTAATGGAGCATCGGAGCGGTGAGGGGGCAAGTGGATGGCCAAGGGCTGTTGGGCTAGGCGTGGCATGAAGTGTGCTCTGCGTTTTGTTTTGCATGAATTGCAATAATTGTTTATTGACAACAATGGATTTAAATTGTTATCGACTGCAGCTGTGAAACGATTATGAATGCGCAGCCACTGAGCGAGCGAGCGAGCGAATGAATCCAGTGAATCATGTGAATCAAGTGTGATTGAATTGCGCACTTATAAATTGCAAATATTATTATATTTGGAAATAAAATTCTTAAATCTCGCACAACTGAGATTCAAGCATTTACGAGTGGAAGTGAGAGAGCTCTTAAAAGTGCAATTAAAGTTGATATGAAATGCGGGTAATTAAGTTGGCAGAGAATATTCTAAAGTATCGAAGAAGAAGACAGCATTAAATAAAAATAGTGTTAAAAATAACTAACTATAAATAATAATAATTTGACATTTACACATATGAATAAATATGAATATGTAATATAAGACCATATTCCAGGGGCGGATAGGGCAGACAGGGTCAGTTGCCTTGAGGCCAGACGTGCATATTACGGAGCTGGATTACGTGTCAAGCGCAATACCGATTCAGATTCACTTGCCGAAATGCTTGATATGAAATGTGGGTAATTAAGTTGGCAGAGAATATTCTAAAGTATCGAAGAAGAAGACAGCATTAAATAAAAATAATTTTAAAAATAACTAACTATAAATAATAATAATTTGACATTTACACATATGAATAAATATGAATATATAATATAAGACCATATTCCATTCCCATTTGCTAGTTTTATTTTTACACATTGTCGCTTTTCTCTGTCTCTGTCTCTCTCTCTCGCTTGCCCTTAACCCTTTAGTTTCCTGTCGATGCACACAGCGAGATAAAAATGTTTCTGTCGGGACACAAAAGTTTTCTATTAATATTGATCAAGTTGCCAGAACTGTTTTGACTGAACAACAACTGTCTTAACTTGCCTGAAACTTTTGCCTGTTGCAATATTTTTATGCCAGCTGGCATTTTAGCTTTTCAATATATAAATTGAATACATTTAAAAGCATATGCAAATTAAATAGTTGAGAATTTAAATTTTTGTTTCCTACTTAAGGTCAATCAATTTTAAAGAAATTGTATAAATAAAATATTTGTACATATATACGCCATGAAAATTTAAATCGAATATTCAACAATGAGCCGTGCTTAGCTAATTGCTTGCGAAATGGCAGACAGATAAGAATTCCGCTCAGTGAAGCATGCCGGGCTGGCTGACGAAGGACCTCTGCATAGCTAAATACGTTTAACAATAAACTGATTACGTTTTGATGGCATTTGGCCATCTTTTGGCAGCTAAATTTGTCTCGGGCCTTAACGCTGCTTAGCGAAGAAATTTCTTCCGTTTGTGGGCCAACTGAGAAATGCCAATTGGCAAGTTGGCTGGCTGTGACTTCAAGGCGGCTTGCCAAGAGCAAAATAAATAGCAAAGCTGCAACAACAACAGCAACAACATCAAATCAAAGTGGAGCAGAACGAACGAGAGATTCGGGCGCATATTTTTGGCAGAAACGTGAAATTAATTATGCGCGGCAAAAGAAAGGCTTACCGCAGGACAAAGACACCGCATGCATGGGACCGAGTCGGGTGGGCGACGGCGGCGACGGCGACGGCGGGTCTATGCCGCGTCAGCTGCCGAAAAGGGAAGCGCATTAAATGAGTCGACGGCGGCAGCGTCGGCCACGTTCCAGGATTATGTTAAATTTAGCGGTGACACAGACACTTGGCAAAGGTTCTCATACACAATGGCGCAATAATTGCTCAAGTCTTGTGGGCGTGTGTGGGTGGGTGGGCGAGTGGGCGGCAGTCGCCGGTTAGGCGTGTCAGGCTGCCCGCCATTAATTGTGCAAAGTCAGTGGAACTGAGTGTGTCGCCCCTGGCAGCTGTATGTCTCTCTGTCTGCCCCAGGCAGAAGTCAGTGCCAAGTGCCAGATGCCGTTTGCCTTGCCTTGCCTCGACTTGCCTTGCCTCCCGCCAACTGTGTGTGTGTGTGGGTGTGCAGGGTCGGCTCTGCCCGTTGGCCTCGCTTTTCGTTCCATTCCGTTTCGTTTGGTATGCCATAAATTTGATGCTATTTTTATTGTCATTTTCATTGGGCGCTGTGAAAATGTTTGTTTAAATTACGAGTCCTCCACTCTGTCTCTCTCTCCCCCTCTCTGTCTTTCTCCCTCTCTCTGTACAACTCTCATTCTTTTGCTATGACAATTGTTAGCCTGACAATTAAATACAATTTTCGTTCAGTACAAATACGGACAAGTGCGTCAGCAGCTAAAGATACGCGCTGCAAAATAAATCATTTACAATTTTCATTTTCTATTTATCAAGCTCAACATTTGGGGATATTCTCAAAGACCCTTTTGCTAGCGGAAAATGGAACACGAAAATGTTAGAGCCGAGAGGGGAGGAATGCGATTTAAGCGATTGCGAGGTTTGTCGCTGCAAATTGTATGGCCCAAACTGCTCGTTACCTTGGCAAATATACAGATAATGGCCAAACAGAGGCGGGGTGAGAGGGCGGATAGGGCAGACAGGGTCAGTTGCCTTGAGGCCAGACGTGCATATTACGGAGCTGGATTACGTGTCAAGCGCAATAACGATTCAGATTCACTTGCCGAAATGCTAGCGTAAAATTTAAACATAAATTGTCTAAATTGATGTGGAATAGACAATGCCTAATCGTGGTTTCAAATCAATAAGAGGGGAGTTTAATTGAGGTATAATTTGAGTATAGTATAAGTAGAGCAAGTCGCAGATATGAGGTACTATGAATACTGGGTAGATTCTCTTATAGAGCTGCTGCAAAATGAGAGAGAACTGCTGAGGTTAAATAATTGCAGCTCTGGCAGTTTCTTGAAGAGAGAGAATTCCATTTAGTCTTTGTTGAAAGGGAAGCTGTAAAGATAATGGAGAAGTATCTCCATGAGTTGTATGAGTATGAGTGTCTATAGCTGAGAACAACCTGACTAGACAGCCAGACCATAGAAAGCCAAAGAGGAGCTTTTCTAGTTTCTCTTAATATCGACTAATAGTGAATGATTGCAAAGGTATTAACTTCTGCAGTTTCTCGATGAGCGAAAACTCCGTTTAGTATGGTATGGAGAAGAAACTGCAAACTTAATAGAGAAGCAGCTGAATGAGTTATATGAGTATTATCAATTAGTGTTATAAATTAGTGAGACTTTGCAAGGTCAACAATATATGATATATACTCAAAAGAAAAAATCTCATATATACTCATGATCAAAGTTTGTTTTCACTTCATCGATAAGAATATCGTATACCCTCGTAGACTGCAGTAAAGTTCTGCTGCATTTAAATTTGCTTCTGTTACGCGAGGCTTTTGCGGTTGGCCAAATATTTGCATTAAATTTGGTCAAGTGGCAACATTTATTCGGACTTGTTTTTTGCGCTGCTTGAATTTTCCTTTGCCACTCCAGTTGCCATTATTTTTCTCCACTTCCCCTTCATTTTGCTTTTACATTGTCTTCCTTTTATTTATTTTATTTTTTCGTTTGTTTTTTTTTTTTTAGTTGTACAACAATTTCTTTGTTTGTTCAGTGCTTTCGCAGCGAGTTAATTTTGCATTTCCGCTCATTTAACTGCATTTTTTCGGTACTCTCTGCCGCTGTGTCTCGCTCTTACTCTATTTCACTGTCTCTGCCTCTCTCTTTCTCTCTCTCTCTCTCTCTCACTCTTGCGTCATTGTGGCCGGCTTCAAATACCGTGAAGTTGTTTTTCCGTCTGCAGCTTGGCCAGGAAGTTCATTTGGAACAGCCGCAACGGCATATGAATGAATGTTGGCGCAGGAGGTCAAGCTCCACTCAGCAGTAAATATATATGTGCAAAGTTTTACGGAACTGGGCATGAAGGATGCCGAAAATATATGCATATATAGAAGTAATTTGATGATCTTTGTAAAACAAATAAAAATTCAATTAAATGATTCAATACTTAATTTAACTATGGAATGCATTAGGATATTTTATATAGTGAATTTTAGGTTGATAATTTAGCTACTCCCTAATATATGCAACGTTTTTTTCGAAAGTTCAGTTTTTGATCCTTGATGGTTGAGGTAAAGAATTTTTGTAATCTGAAAGCAGAAATGTGTTTCACAATGAACTAAAAGAGAGCCTGATAAGTTAATAAGGTCTTGGAATACAATATTTTCTGATAATTTTTAATATATCTTTAATCTTAACCTGACTTTGTTATCTAATTTTCCTCTAATTACTATATAAATTTATGCTAGATATAAGCTATGAAGTCTATTTAAAAAGAGAGTACATCATACGTACTTTTCTACATATACAATTTTTCTCAGCCTTTATATTTATGTTTACATACAAACGCTCTCTGCCTCTGCATATCTTAGAGTAATGCCATCATTTAAATGAATTTCTAAACAGAAGCAAGTTTTCAGTTTGAAGCTCTGCTGTAAGTGTGTGCGTACGTGCAGCTGCATATGTATATGTGCCATAATTATATGCCTATTTGGACTCGCGAAACGCAGAACTCGTAAATTTCACACCTCAGCCATCAAAAGTTGAGCAAGTGCTGCGTGCTGGGCAAAACTTTTGCCATTTGCGCAGGAAGCGCAAGGATGCAACACACACACACACACACGCACACACATTCAGACAGATAGATAGACAGACAGACACATAACTGGCAAAGCGAATGGCAACATAAAGATTATATGTCAAGCGCAAAATCTCGGGCGCTTTAGCATGCGCGAGTGCCTGCCGCTGCCTGAGTGTGCGTGAGTGCGTGTGTGTGTGTGTGTGTGCATTTGTAAATGTTGCTATGCGAGTGGCAGAGCTTCCGTTTGCCATTCTTGGCTGCACGCGCTATCCCAGCCATCCCCTCGCCCCGCCCACTATTCGGCCCAAACTCTCACTAAGTCTCAGCATGACATTGCACTCAACTATGCTTTCACCTGGGCTGCCTCCGCCCAGCCTTTGGCTGTGCCGCAAGCCAAACCAGCTGTTGACTTTTATTGTGGCTTGACATTAATTTGTTAAGTGCGCCAGCTACCCACCCAACCAGCTGCCAAGTCTCAGGCCTCAGACCTCAGACCTCAGACGGCCCTGCCTTTCGCTAAGTCAACTGTGTAATCTTTAAGGCGAGCAGCTTGAGCAGTTTAACAGTTTTGCTCGCTCCACACACGCCCACGCCCACGCCCACACCTACGGCCACTGGCCCACCTGATGTGTTGTTGCCTTAATTGCATTTCAGTGTGTACACACTCAGGGCAAAAACAAAAAACCGAAATGAAACCGAAAAAGTACATTCCAGCCGGCGCGCTGTCCCCGCTTGCCGTCGCTTTTAATTATGCCCAATGCACTGTGAAAATGCTTAAAAATGCAAATTATGCGCTGTAAAATGCAACGCATGCAAAATTCTGCCGCATAATTTATGCCACACATGGCACACACGCCCCGTTCGTCTGTTTGCTCCATTTGCCCCATCCCTTGCCATCGGCTTTGCTGCCTCTCGCTCGCTCAGTGTTGCTCATTTGAGTGGTGTCTATCGCATTATGTTGTTCAACATTGCCTTCTGGTGTCATCGATGCCGTTTGTTGATATGAGCCATATGATGCACACACACTCACACCCGATATTTGTTTAATTAGCCCGTATTAATGCCGATTCAAGCAAACAAGGTAGCAATACAATAATGAAAACTGTAACCAGCTCCATTGTTATGGGCGATTGTTCTTTTATTATAATTCCAGTTGCAATTGTTCAATATACCCTGTCCCTATTTCGTATGGACAGAGAGCTTTGCCCACTAACCCACTGACTGTTCGGTTTTCATTTCATTTGTCTGTTCATTCAGGCCATTTGGCCTGCCATAAATCCGCTCGTGTTTTGAATGGAATGCACGCACACACACACATATACACACAGTTTGTTGCTTAATGATCTGATTTAATTGGTTTATATATCCGAATTGTGTTGTTACTAACATTTGGCAACTAAGCGAAATTTCAAATGCTTCAATTTTAATCTAAGCTTATTTTTATATAGCCGAAAATTTAATGCTGACTTTGATGGAAATTTTTAAAATGTTTCTGCTTGTAGTGATTAAAAAAAAAAAAACAATTAAGAAGGCTCTAATCGAGACTGCTCGAATAGGAAATGCCCTGAAGCCTCCAGGCTGGTGCTCGAATCATTCTGCACTTCTTTTATGCTCACATACATACATACATACATCCGCTGGCAAGTATAAGCAGCGACGGTGACCTTGACATTGAGTGTCAGTGACCTTGAGGGATAGGGAGTGTGTGGCATGGGGTGGGGAGCGTTTGACGAAGAGAGAGAGGGAGAGAGACTAGTTTATTAATTAATAATATAAAAATACATTTGAGTCCACATTCAATATGTGGAAGCTCTAGCTGTAAATGTGTAGGATATATAATAAAATAGCTAATTTTTAATAAGGCTTTTATTTCTATTAAATATTCTACTTATATATTTTATACCCTTCAGCATTATTATTTGTATTTTATTTAATTAAAATTTTAATCAATTTTATTTTAGGTGTATAATTGATATTTTTTCTACAAATAGGTATAAATATTTATATGTTCGTTATTAAATTTTGTTTGCTTTTATTTATTTTTATTATATGTGCGAGTCTGTATAAATATATATAATTTGAAAATATATTATATTATTATTACCATTTTTTTTTCTGCTTTATTTTAAAATATTTTTTATTTTTACTTTATTATTATTAGTATTATTGGAACTTTTTAAATTTAATTGTATATGTTTTTATTTTTAAATATATTTCTATTCATTCCGGTATAGAAAAATAATAGGAACTCGACAACGACGTCTGTCTCTTCATTTGTTTCTCCATTTTTTGTCAATCTGGTATGAATTGTACATTACTAGAATCTTTTGTAGAAATGAAATATAATATAAGTGGGAAAGAATATATTTTTAGTATTTTAGTACCACCAAACGAAGTAATGGACTGTCGTCGGGCTACAAGTATACTACATAATTAGCATTCTCCTACTCTCTCAAATATTTTTACAAAGTCTATTCATTTTGTCTATTACGTTTCATATTCAATTTCACTCTACATCTGCTGTCAAATGAAAATTTTTGAAATTATACAATTGCTGACTGCCTTAAAGATTCGACGTTCGAGATTCGAAATACATAAGTGAATACTCCACGTTGGTTCATTGCGTTGCCGACATGGCCTCCAAGAAGAAGACGATGCTATGGGAGCCGCACTACGATAGCTCCTTGATGAAGACAACCACACAAATCATGCTGGAGGAGGGCTCTCAGCCACAGCGCACGCTCTGCACCACCGATCACAAGTTGGTCAACTTCCAGTCGTTCAACATGGAAGAGTGAGTGGCTTTAGGTAATTGTAATTCTCTCATAGCTCACTCAAATAACTGCCACAGTCCACGCTATGGGCCTGTGGACCAGGAAGAGGAACTAATACAGCCCATGAAATCTGGTTATATGCGTGAGTATACGCAGCCCTATCCCTCACGCTGCAAGCCTCTGAAGCCGAAAGGGGAAACGCCAGACTTTATGTTGAATCGTTTGCCAAAGAACGACTTTGATCCGATCACGGGCACCTATTACAAATTTCTAGATGATCACATGCACAATATACCCGAGGTGCGCAAAAAGGTCAATTTTTTCAGGCAGTTGAGGTGGGTTCAATAGTTCATAAATATTGAATTTCAATTTCATATTTGTATTTTGCATTCTTACACAGGAATCAATCATTTTTGCTTTATTGAGAGCAGCAAAATTATTCATTTTGTTATTACCTGGAATTGGGCTCGAAATAAAATTGTAGAAATTGTTGTTGTTGTTGCAATCGAAAGCTATAAGTGAAGTATTCATTAAAGATCTTCTAGTAATGTTCCAATTGAAACTAATTGCTTGACAATTTGTTGCAATTTGGCTCAGTCATCAGGCCAGTCTTATTTTTAAAAGCTTTCGCCGCACTCCATAATTATAAATTACCCCACTATTAGAAAAATATGTCAGTTGTTGCCTTTTCAATGGAAGTCAATTAATTTTGCATAGAAATGCGAACTTACTTGGGGGATGAAAGCAATCGAAGTCGGTACGATACAGTGAAAGCTCTATTAACGGACAGCTGCATTGAATGTATGTCGAATTTCAAATTAGAATTAGGCTGCTCTTAAAGACATAGTACAATACAGTTGACTACTTAAGTGCATGCTCCACATTATAATCTTATCTTATTAGTGGAACATTCAGTGTCCATCCACGTCAGCGTTCACTATATGTATATATGCCAAGCAATGCTTTGTATGTTGTATGCTTTGGGTGTCGCTTATTAGGTTAAAGCTGTTGCAAATTCTCGGAAAATGCTAACGAATCGCAATTAATAATGCAAAAGTCTATAGCCATGCCACGTTCAGGTCCAATACTTTGGCTCTACGCTCTCAGCGCTGTGGCAATTTGCATAAATGCAGCCAATAAGCAAGCAGGACCTGTGCTTTGGGCATTTGCTGTCAAGCTAATGGCAAACTATGACAGCTCTGATTTATTATGCACGGTAATTAGTTTGGCCTGTTTAGCGTCTGTGGAGCAGCCGGTGCAGGAGCAGGAACAGGAGCAGGAGCTGGACGCATTGATATGCCAAAGCAAGTGCATCGAATTTCTTTGGCAACGATGACACGGCCATAAAAACAGTTTCCAACAGCAGCAACAACAACATCAGCAACAGCAATGAGACGATGATGGGGCTGGCAAGTACGATGAAGTGACCAAAAACAAAACACTCTTAGCCATCATCAGTTGACAAGCGCATGAAAGTCAAAATGAATGTTCCCAAATGACAGAGTCCTCCACAAGAAGTGGCAGTAGTAGTCGTAGTGGTAGCATCAGTGGCTTGATAGTCGAATGGATGTCGTCATTGTTGCTGTTGTTGTTGTTGTTGTTGTGGCTGCCTGACTGGCAAACAGGACACGGACATGCTGTGCGGAGGCTGCTGACAATACATCAATTAGGAAGCAGCAGCTTGCAAAGTTTGCAATCTCACACTGCCGGCTGCGACACCAAAGCGTTTCACAACAACATCAAAGCGACACCTAGCGTTCGAAAAAGAGTGTAGACAAGAGTTGACACAAGTCAAGGCTTAAACAAAAGATTTATCTCCAGTCAAAAAGGCTTCAAAACAGATCAAGTTACCCATTTCAATCGAATCAATTTGCGGGAACGAAAATTTAATGAGAAAATGCTAAAAGACTTGCTGCGGCAATAGCACGAAAACGCGAACTGATGAGATGAGATGAGAAATATTAAATTTAATTGGAGCAGATACTAATATAAAGTAATAAAAAGTGCATTTCGATTTTTATAAGACCTAGATGTGCTAGACAGTATATCTAAGAAGTAAGTAAGAAATCTTTGGCCACTTATGTAACTATGAGCTTTTCACAGTTATAATATGTATGACTCACTTTTACGATATGCAATAATTTTCTTGCTTTAAATACGAAAAATGATATATCACAACATTATCATGAGTAAGTCAATCACTTTTAACTAATATACAACCTAATTAAAAAAAAAAAAAAAAAAAAAAAAAACAAAAAAACAAGTTTGCTAAAATTATGCCATAAATATAACATGCATTTACGACATAGATAAAAGCTATCGCAAAAATTTAAATTGAAAATTTCTGCCATAATTACTTTAATTATAGCAAAGTATTTAGATAAAGGTGCGCTACTTTTGCATTTGGATATAGAAATATACAAAAATTCCGTTTTATGATATAGCAAAGTATTTAGATAAAAGTGCGCTACTTTAGCATTTGGATATAGAAATATACAAAAATTCCGTTATATGATAAAAACGGAAAAGTTATTATGAACTGAAATAAAATATATAATATATAACTTTAGAATAAATATACACGTTTCAGTCTTGTGTGCGATTGAATACAATTTAATTTTAGATAAGTCTATGTCATTATATTTTCATGAATTGATGTTCTCGGCGTACTTATAAAAGCGTAAGGAAAACATCGAAATAGTCGCTACTAATGCATCCAGTAGAGAACATGTGGAGCTTTCCTAAAATATTTCTAATCCTTGTGTTGATGAAGAGCTGCTATGCAGCACCGGCCGCCTCTTCAGAGCGTGTTGAAACCGATCCCAGACTTATAGCTGGATACACCGAAGGCGATATGATCCTAAGCAAGGACAGAAATGGATTGATCAATGAAGCTGTTCACTGGCCCAATGGCATTGTCTACTATCGTTTCAATAACGACATAGGTGAGTTTTATTTCAAGTTTAAGAGTTGTCTTGTTATTTGTATTCCCTAATCTAGATCAGAAGGATCGTAATATGATTCTGCAAGCGTTTCGCACTATCGAGTCGATTTCTTGTGTCGCCTTCCAAGAAGCAAACTGCGATCAGCTTTGCTATTTGAATATTACCTCGGACGGCTTAGGCTGTTTCGCCGACGTGGGCTACCAACACAGTGTACAACGGTTGAATTTGATGAAATTTGATTGTTACACTCCCGGCATAATTATACATGAGCTTTTGCATTCCTTGGGTTTCTACCATCAGCAAAGTACGTGGAATCGTGATGAATACATTCGCATTAACTTTGAGAACATAAAAGAGGGCATGGAATCCAACTTCGACAAGTACAACAAAAACGAAGTTTCCAATTTCGGCGAGGGATATGACTACGGCAGCATCATGCACTACAGGTCCACGGGATTCTCCAAGAACGACAAGCCGACCATTGTGCCGTTGATCGCGGGTTACGAGAACTTAATTGGAACCCGACAAGAATTGAGCATGGCTGATATTAGAAAATTAAATGCCATGTATAAGTGTCACGAAAAAGTTTGAGTGCTTGCACAATTACATGAGCTAAACTGATTAAGAAGTGTGTTTTATTCTGATGGCGAGTGAATAGGATGGGCGTAGTTGGGGGAGAAATGAGAGAAGTTTTCCTTTCAATTCAAACAATTTATTCAAAAATGTGAATCTATAGAAAATTAGTAGTACACTAAATTTTTCTCCTCAGTTATCAAAGTCCTGCAATTTAGTGTGCTGCTAAATGGGAGCTTCAGAACCAGATATATAATGGATTACTAACTATCATTGTCTTAAAACAAAATTTCAATTACAAAAAAAAAAAAAAAAAAATTATGTTTCCGTTCAATTTTTGTACTTAAGAAAGTAGAGAAACATGAATTCAATTCCTGATTAAAAAACTTGCTATTTATATTATATATTATTAAGATATTTGCAATCATATCTGACCTAGAAACATATACATATCTGAGCCCAACGAGCACTTACTTCACTTACACCTTGAATCGCACGGCTGTCAGCTAACAGATAGTTAATTTTTCGTACATCACAGCGTGATAGAGTCCTCAGCAATGATAAGTGCTACGCACAACTGATAACAGCGTGCGGCCTCGTATTTTTTGACCATTCAACGTGCCACAAAGCCGCGTGCAACAGCATTCAACAAGCATACACCAATGCGTACTACGCTCCAAACTCACCATACACCAACGAAAGCCGGCAATGCTGCTCTCTCGCTCTCTCTCTCTCTCTCTCTCTCTCTCTCTCCGTCTCTCACTCCCCCTCTCTAACTATGTGTATGTCTGCTTGGGGCGTCTGCGTTGCGCTCTGGAGCCGAAGCAGAAACTCAACACAGATGCACGTCGCGTCGTGCAGGCTTCGTTTTTGATAAGAGGCTCGCTTCGGTGTTGGCCACGGCTCGTGCCTTGGCCAGCAGCAGCAGCGGCGGTGGCTCAAATCAGTCAACTCGGAAACGTGGCCACGTTCGTTTAACGGCGTTTATGTTGCGGCTCTTTTAGCCAGGCCACCAACAATTGGCAGTAGACACAGCCAAATGACAAGCGCCAATTGCCAACAAAGTTTGTGTTTCGTGCTCGTCTCGAATCGTGTGTGCAGCCAAATTCCGATTATATATCAAAATCAAATAACACAAAGGTGCGTGTGTCTGTGTGTGTGAGCGTGCGAGTATGTGTGAGTGTGTCGCCGTAATCAATTAAAAGGTGTAAACTGCAACAACAACAAACAAAGTAACACGAGAATCAGAAAAAAAAAGTAACGTGAGTGTGTGTATGTGTGGCAGGCATGTGTAATTAATTTTTGGCATTTCAATTGGCCGCCATCAAAATCCAGACCTTCAACCAATTTGATAAATTTGCATTTTTGCACAAAAAAATATATATATACAAACAAAAATAAAAATAAAAGAAAACGGGAAAAGGCAAAAAAGGCAAAGCACCACGGTGGCTGGGGCAACCGCAGCAGAGGGAAAGCCTGCACAAAGCAATTTAATTTACAAATTACAAGTTGATGGGCGCAGCCTCCGTCAAAAAGGGCAAAGCGAGAGAATTGATTTGGGTCGCCAGGTAAATCAGCGATTAAACTTATTATTGGAAGTGTATCGAATGGGGTTTCCAGGTGTTAAATAAGCCAATACATCGATGAGACTTTCCTTCTTTTTTTTCCATTTAATTTAAATTGTTTTGTGTGCTTCATGCAGATGAAGACAATGAGAAGTATATACTTCTGAAATAAATTATTAATGCCTAAATTGGCTAACTTCACCTTGGTAATATAACTGGATTGTTTCCCACTTGCTGTTATTTGTTGATCTGCAAAGTTTGTGAGCAGTTGACTAAATGAATTGAATGAAATGAATATTAAATGACTTTTGAGCCACTTTTACTTATCCTTAGTTTAGATAAGACAGAAATGATTCTGAATCCAATTTATAATCAAAATACTTCTAGCCGATGACGCCCATCTATTATAAATAATTTTTAGTTTTTTATGCTAAAAAAAATTGCAATATTAATATATAATCTGCATTAAATTGTTCATATAGAAGTACTTATATTATCTGCATTACTAAAGATAAAAACTAATTAAAAATAAATAAATAGCTGCAGTTGAAATTTCATTAAAAAAAAAAGAAGGAAAAAAACTAGGAAGCATGTTTTGAGCAAAGAGATTATCACATTTATTCAAATTTCTAAGTGAGATAAAAAGTCAATGATAGATTTATGTATGAGAAATATGTTTCATTCCTTTTGACAATTATAATTATGTATTACGTTTTTGAATCCAAGGTTTTTACTGAATTTTCAATGGGCTCAGACTATATAGAGTAAAAAAAAAAAAATATCTATAAATAATAACAAAAAAAAAAAAAAAAAAAAAGAAAAATGTAGAAAATATGTTTGTTAGATCATTTTTGTTTTCATGTCAATTGAGGCTGTAATTTTACATTTGGTCGAATAATAATTTTCTTACAGAATCTTTAAAACAAAAAATTTGTTAAGTCCTTTATTATATAAAAAATACCATAAATGAATAAAAAACAATAATATGTAAATATGCTACATGGCCACATAGTAGATATTCAGTAGAGTATGTAAATATATGGATTCAGCTAAATGGATCTCAAGCTATCCTGATATTTACATATTCTTTAGGTTGAAAAAATGGCAATGAAGCAAATATTTAAAAAAAATCTTGTTTTTATGGTTTCATTTAATGTTTGCTTTATGCAAATATATAGTTTTATTTCTATTAATATTAAATTCTCCATTACAGTGAGTTGCTTGAATAAAATAAAAACAAAAAATAATTAAAATTAAAATTAAAAATCAATGTAGACATTATTTGACATTCAAAATATATATAAATAATTTGTATATTAATTTAAAAATTGTACAATCCAATCTTGTAATTAACCCCATGGGAGCATTCATAATGATAACAGAAAGAGGAAAAAGTTCGAATGGAAAATGACAAATGGCAGATGACAAATGACAAATGTTCTAGGCGCTTCCTTCTGCTTATTAAGCAGAAAAAACTTAAAACATTTTCCATTTCTCATTTGCTTCTTATTTATTTTGCTATTCGCTGTCGTCTGTTTTAATGTGGTGCTAAGAAATCTCGCATTTGCACTTTGAAGGCAACTCGTGCCAAGAACAACAAGAGTAAAAGTAATAAAAATAATAATGATAATGACAATAATAATGAAATGAGCGAAGCGCAGAGGCAAAAATAAAGCGTAAGTTGAAGAAAAATGTCAGAGACGTGCCTCGTATGCAAATATCTGTCTGTGTGCAAAACGCAGACTAATAAGTGAAAAAGGAGACCAACAAAAAACAAGAAAGAGATAGAGAAAGAGAAAAAGGGGCGAGGCATAAACAAATATAAAAAATAGAAAAAACAAAACCGGGACGAGGTTATGAGACTACGAGATTACGACAAAGCCAGAAGCCACATCCATAGCCCTGGTGTGAGGCCAACTGAAGGGAAGTCCTTCAAGCGCTCGAGCCTGGCCTTACGTACAGGAAGCAGCCGCGCCCTCCCAGGAGGCTGTCAGGATGCTGTGTCTATGAGTGAAGCGGGCCAAGTGTGGGGGGCGCCAGCGCGTTTGACCTCGAGGCACAAATGAGTGCAGATACTAAAGCTGAACAAGCTGCTAATCCAAAAATGTGTTCCCACCATTTGCCCATCCATAATTCAGCAGATTTCCATGTGCCAAGATCAACAAATATGTTTCATAAACTTAACAATAATTTTTTTTTCTCGAGTTTTATTGCAATAACAACAACGACAACGAGCGAATTGCCGGCAATCTTTCAAAATTTCAATTGTTTGTGTGTCTATGTGTGTGTGTCTGTATGTGTGTGTATATGTGTTGGAAAAATGAAACAAATTTCATTGCATAATTCATTGCGCATTTTACTGGGTAAACGGGCTCGTTACGGTGGGCGTGGCAAGAAAGCCGTCTGCTATTTCGTATGGTCATAAATCTTCAGACATATGGGCTGTCATTGCCATAACGATTGGGGCCAAGAGACAAAGGTCAGGGTGTCCGCTCAACGAGCTGCAAAAAAATGCGTATTAAAAATATTTTTATTGTTGCCTCTCTTTGTTTTCACGCTCGACATTTTGCCAGTTAAACAAATATAAACAATAAACCTGACAAAAGCCTATAAACAATTTAAGGCCAAAAATCCCGCAATGCAATTTAACCGAATTGTTGAAAGGGTTAAAACGAAATTCATTTCAATTCGCATTCGCATTCGCGTTCACGCGCTGTCAAGTGACTAAAACAATAAACGTCATAAAAAAAAAAAACACGAAAATTCAACGCTAAAATAACGACAACAACAACAACATCAGCAATTGCTAATATCAAAGCAGCAGCAACAACAATCAGCAAAACATCAACAAGAGCTGTAATAATAAACGTGAGCACCAGAGAGACCGAAACAGAGAGACCGAGACGGAGAGAGACGAGGAGAGACACTGAGGTGAAGGAAGAGCAAGTGTAACGATTGGCAACAATTTTACGAGTCGCTAGCTACTTTTTACAACGAATTTTCATTATTGCACAAGGTAAGCTTTTCCTTTTTCTTCCAGTTTATCGTTCATTCCTTTTTCTTTTCTTTTTTTGCCTTTGTCACTCAGCTGCAGTTTATTGGGTTTAAGCATTTGTCGGACCTTAAGCATTGCACAAATCCAATTGGATTTTGTAAAGTTACAAGAGCAGCGGAAAAGTTCAACATTTGTTTGCATTCTGTTCGGCACAGACAACCGTTAAAAGTTTAATCAAAGCACCAAATCCCAAACAAATCGCAAAAACAAAACAATTTTTTCTCATCTTCAAAAGAAGCTACAGTGCATTCATAAAATTATATTGTAACTAGCTACAAAGATAACTAAAAACAAAAAAACAAAAAACTTACGAAACAATATATACATGATATTTCGGATTTTTTTAATTACTCAATGCGAATCTCTTGCAATAAGGCTTAGTGGAAAATCCATAGCTTAAATGGGATTTTATAGCAAAACAGAAATTACAAT